CAAAACGCCATTCACCGCGAGATTCAACAGAGCAGCCGGAACTTCTGCCACCCACCGGACGTCGTTTCCCAGTAGCCGCAACACCACTCCGCACTTCAACCAGCCGCTGCACTACGAGTATAACAACCCAGGTTAGTTTACAATGTCGACCCGCGCGCTAAGGAGTCGAAACATAGACTTTGAGAAGGACCACACACAATTCAGTGAAAGTGAAGTAGGATGCTCGTATAGGGAACAGGAACAGTTTGAATTCCCAAGTATGGAAAACCTTAGTGTGGGTCATGAACATCATGGTTGTGAAATCCATTTGTCTGAGACCGGCCGAATCCAGACTCCAGCAGATAGGCACGGGGAGAAAGACATTTGTAGCGAGGCTGATCTTAGCACTGTGACAGTAGCGGAGCCTGTTAGTATAGTCAATGCAAACACACAGCTACAAGAAATATTAGCTAGCGTAATACAGTGTGTTAAACAGAGTGTTAAAGAAGCTAACGAGAAATTACGGAGGGATATAGAGAGAAGTGTCAAAGACGAAATGAGTAAATTGAGAGAAGTAGTTCGCTTAGAGAATAAGAGATTGACAGAGAAATTCGAAAAGGAAAACATTAGTTTCAGTAAATGCCTTGATGATAAATTGCAACATGAATCGGCTAAGATTGGCAAATTAGTGCAGCAGGTTAGGGAAGACAGTGAAAAAGAGCTTGTAGCTGTAAAGAAAAATGTTCAGGCAGTATCCAAAGAATTACATAATAAGATAGAATCACACGTGCTAAAGACAACGGAGCTGACTAGTGAGTTAGGTAAGGAAATGATCCTGCATAAGGAATTTGCTGATAAGGAAGTCAGTGAGATGAAAGAGATAATCAAATTAGTGCAAACTGAAAGGATTAACAATGCGCAAACTTGGCAGAAAGAAGCCGAAGCGAAGGTCCAAAATTTAAATGTAGAGTTGAAGAAATTGGGAGTCCAGGAATGAAGGTCATTTCAGTCAATTAAATAGCGAAGTAAATGCTATTAAGTTACAATTATTTGGTTGTACAACGGTTGGGTGTAGTCCCACCTCGTTGCCCCCAAATGATAATGCTAGTGTCGATCCTGGCCAATCTTCTTCTGAGTCTGCGCATGTCAATTCTAATACCAGAACTGAAAATGTAAGGATCACTCACGGAGTAGCGTGTAATTGTAATGAGAGTATGCATGCTAATGTGTCTGATTCAAGGGGCCTGCTTGTGAGCAGTAATGTGAGTTCTCATGCTCATGGCAGCTGTTTGAACCTCACTGAACTTTCCTTGCCGTACTTTGACGACCGTGGTAAAATTAATGCCATGTACCACCTCAAACAGTTGGATGAATATTTCGCGCTAAAAGGTGTGCCAAAAGAAATTCAACTCGCGATCTCTTTGCGTTCCATAACTGACCCTACAGTCAAGGATTGGGTTTCAGCAGTGTCACACACATTGCAATATTACAGTCAGTTCAAATCAGCATTCGCTGATGCGTATTGGAATCAGGTCACCCAAGGAAATGTAAGAAAGTCGATCTACCAAGATAAGTACAACAAGCAAAATGGGTTAACGCTATCAGGGCATTTCCTGAAATACGCGGTATTAGCGTCTTATTTACGGCCGAAAATGTCAGATGTTGAATTGATTAATGCATTGATGAGCCATTTCGCTTTGCATATCCAACGAAGCTTTGCCTCCGTTCAAGTAACTTCAATTCAAGATGCGGTCAATTTCCTGCAACGGCTCGAATCAATAGAAGGGAACGACAGTTACCAAGACTCGAACCGTGTACCTAAATCCCAAGAAACTCAGAATCCCCATGGACTTCAGCCTTATCATGGATACAATAGGTATAAAGGGAACAATAACTTCGTAACGCAAACTTTTGTTTCGCGTCCAAACGAGTACAATCGGCGAGGACGGAACTGGCGGGGAAACAGGGAATACGCTGAGCAAAATTATGGTAGACACAGAGAGGTTGACCGTCGGTCTTCCTCAGCGAACCGACAGATGTTAGACCCCAACGCACCTCCTTATTCAGGTCAAGTTTCCCGAGACGACAGAGTAAACAACGCACCTGATAATGAAAATAACAGACGTTCGGAAAACTAGGAACGGGAT